AAGGTGACTTAGTGTCCTATAGTAAGTAGTCTATAAATGTCAATATCAACAATTAGAGAATTCTCATTGTATTTCAGTAGGAGAAAAGTTTATTTCTTCTTTTACTTTTTAGCAAATAGGATATCTTGTTTTTTATTTGAAAATTGTCATTCTATGCATTTGAGAGTAGACCAAAGAATGGACATTTTATGGCATATACGTACTGGTGGTGTTTCTTTGTTTTTTGAGACAGGGTCTTACTTTGTAGCTCAGGTTGTCCTTGAATTTATGATCCTCCTGCTCCAGCCTCCTGAGTGCTAGGGTAACCTGAGGGTCAGCACAAATATTATTTACAAGACAAAATGAACCCCACAGAGCTTTGGAATGGGATCACTGCCAGTACCATTTCTTTAGCCTGTGTCCCCCCAGCCCCTACCTTTCCAAGATCTCTGGATTTTATACTTCTCACTCACCAGGTTTTTTAAAATAAATGATTTTTTTCATCTATGCACAAATCCCCAGAAAATCTATTGTTTCCTGTGGCTTATATTTGAGGTTTACAAATGAATGTCAAAACTACACATTGTCTTTAGTGAATTCCTTTTTTTCCCCACTTAATTTAATGTCTGTGAGATTCACCCAGGCTGTTAAGTTCCACTGTATTTATTTATTTTTCCTAGTAGCTTAATAATCTATCATGACAGAGAACGGCAGTTTATGGAGCTCTTCTCCTGTGGAAAAACATTAGATTTGTCACTGGTTTGGGCAGCTATGAGCCATACTGCTCTGACCATTGCTGTATAGCACCTTGCAAGCTTTTTAATAAAGGAGCAGAATTACTATCTCATAGAGTAGTCAAAAATTCAACTTTGTAAGACAAGGCCAAATGGTTTCCTTCCATAATTATAGTCATTTATGCTCCCTGAACAGCAAGTGCTTGCTATTATCAAATACTTCCTTATTGGGAAGAAAATGGTATCTTATGTGATCCTGATTTTCATTTTAATTATTTATAGATTGGTCATCTTTTCACATATTTATGAAATATTTATGTTCCTACCTCTACAAAATGATTGTTCATGGCTTTGCCCTTTTTCTGTTTGTAAGATTCCTTTATATATTTTGGACTCAATGCTTTGCCAGGTATATCTATAGCAAATATCTTGTCCCAGTTTGTGCTCTACCTTTTAAATTTCTCCTGTTAACAAAAATAAGTTGTTACTTAACATAGTTAAATCTGTCAGTTATTTTTCTTACATATCCTTTTATTTAAATCTCATTAAGTTTTTCCAATAATTTTGTGATTTTCTTCATGAAGTTTCTGCACGTTGTTGGATAGTTTTATTCCTAGGTTCCTTATAGATTGTTTTTACAATTGTAAAAAATTACACTTTCTCTGTGTGTATATATATATAATTTTTTTGTGTGTGAGACAGGGTCTCACTATGCAATTCAGGCTGGCCTTAAGCTCACTGTGTAGCCCAGGCTGGCCTCACACTCATGGTGATCCTCATGTTTCAGCCTCCTAAATGCTGGGATTATAGGTGAGCACCACCATGCCAGGCTATTAGTATATATTTTATATTGATCTTGTATTCAATGGCTCTGAAAAACTCTCCCAATTATAATAAATAAAGTGGATGTTTCTCTTTAACAATCACATCATCTGAGAATAGTGACAAATTTTGTTTTTGTCTTTTCAATTTTTTATATTTTATTTTCCCTTTTTATCATATTACTTTTTCTAGGTAAGTGTCTAGTACCAGGTTAACTCAGAGCATACTAGAGCATCTTTGTCTTGTCTCTGATTTAGAGATAACCTTTTAAAAATTTCACCATTAATATTGATATTAATTCTAGTTTTTTGGCAAATAATTTTTTTTCATTTTTGGTACCAGGAATTGAACTCAGAACCTTGTATGTGCCAGGCAGGCACTGTGCCACTGAGCTATGTCCCTGGCTCTGGCAGATAATTTTATAGGCCTTTGCAACTTCTCTTTATTTTGATAAAACTCCCCCAGCCTCACATAATAAGGACCTGTTTGTTTTGAGAAAAAAGTCACAGACACCAAGGTGTTCATGAAAATAACCCATAATACCAACTTTAGAAGACAAATCTTAAGGTTATTACATGACTTATTTTCTAGAGGATGAACTTGACATGCTAACAAATACCCATTGTCCCTCGTGTGTTGAACAGCCCCATGTGGAACTCTTACAGGGAGTAACACACATTCTTCCAACTCACAGCTGCTCTGAGATGCCACAGCTCAGTGACAGTGCCTTTGTAGTTAGGGAAGGAACTGCTGAAATCATGTATAAATGGAGAGAACTGTGCTCCCTGCAAAACAAGAGATTATCTTGAAGACAGCTTCTGGTCTGTTCCTCTTTTGCCTTATTCTCTTCTTGTTCCTTGTGTTACTTTTCTTTTTTTTTTTTTTTTTCAGTGTCCACCGTTTGTTTTATCTCCATCAGTTCCTACCTCATGCCCTGAAGGTCACCTCCTCTCAGCTTTGCAGACTTGGAAGATCTCCACTGAAGATGTTCCAAGGTCTCTTAGAATTAGAGCCACTTTGACCTCTTTGTGAGGTATTTCCTGTAGATGCTGGGGTGCAGAGGACACCACAGCCCACGTAGCAGGAGGAGGAGGACCATGCTGGGAAACTGCACCTTCTGTCTTACAATCCCTCTCAAAGTCACGGTGCAAGTCAACAGCCAAGCTGAGTACCGATGGAGATGGAGTTCTGGGACTGACCTCTGTATCTCTGTTGCAGGTCCTTTCACACCTGCTTTTCAAACTTAGCTCACCTTTGGCTCTGTGGTGGGATTAATATCTGAAATGTAGCCAGAAATCACTCTCCCATCCTGTCCTGGAAGGCTACAGCAGCCCCCCATTTCACTCATTAATTTACTAGATGGAGGTAAAGCTCCTAGAAACAGAGCAGCCCAGTTTTGCCTCAGCATCCTATGTCTTACCCACGGGAGTGTTGAGATTCCCAGTGAACGTAGGAGCTCATGGAGCAAGGATCTGTCTTGGTAAAACCGCTCATCATTGCATTTGGTAAGATTCCGCATAAAGTTGAAACACAGGAGGGAGGAGGGAGAAGGGATTTGATTCCCAGGTTTTGCACAGAAGAGCCAACTGTAGCTCATTGTGGCCATGAGGGCTCCATCTCTGTCTCTTTGTGAATGGCATTTTTGTTTTAATCATAAAGGGATTTTGAGTTTTGTATGGTGCTTTCTCTTCATTATTTGAATGATTGTGTATTTCATCTCAAACTGGCTAATACAATACAATATTTACACATATTTAGATAGTATAAGTAAGTCATAGAACTGCTAATACACATGTCTTAAAACCCATTGTTTTCTGTGCCAAAGTTTTCTATGAGTGAGCCCTAAATTGAGATTTCAGTATGACAGCATGTGAAGGGTAATGGGTAAACTAATCGTATTTGTCTTTAGTTTAATATAGTTTCTTTACAAGATTTTAAGAATAAACCCAAGTTAGTTGTTCCTGATTCCGCATGCTTGCAGCCTACTTATGGTTGGGCAAGACCTACACTTCCCTCTCTTATACCATTGTTCCAGGCAGGAGGGTCAGTGTCACAGAGATTTCTCGGGTGGGTTGGAGGGTAGTCCTTTCTTTTGATTCTCTGAAACACTCTGCATACATTTGGGATACTATTGAAAGTTAAGTAAAATTGCCTATAAAACCCCCAGGACTTGGTTTCTTTGTGAGAAGATTTTTTTATCCTTTAACGAAATTAATACAAAACTATAGGGATTTCATTTTAATGTTTTGATAAATTATATTTTTCTAGATCCATTTACTTGATCCATGTATTGATGGTCATTTACTTGGTCTATATCTTGCTCCATTTATTTGGTCTATGTCTTGCTGGCTGAGTTCACAGCAACTGGGTCTCCGTGAAACTTTCCTAATGTGTGTGTAGAAGCCTTTGATGTAGGAGCATTTGGGATACTTTACTGTATTTTCATCATTTTCAGGTAACATCAGTTTATATTCAGGTGGGCCAGGCATCTGATCAACTTACAATCAAGTGTGGTTCAGCTGAGATCCTCTCAACTAGTTTTTCCTGAAAGATTATTCAGTAAGAATATACTTCTTAGCAGCTCTCCACCACTCACTGTACTTACTCAATGTATAGTGAACACAATTGATGGTCTGAGGAGTTAGCACCACAGAAAACTCCACTGTGACTTGAATTTGGGCCATGTGATGGCCCATGTGATGGTCAAGAAGGACCCCAAAAGCTCTGCTGGGATAGTAGCAGGGATTCTCAGAGTGACTGGATCATGAGGATGTTCCAGTGTGATGAGAAGATCTAATTGTGACCTTAGGAACTGGGGCTTGGTTGGACCAGGCGGGTCATTAGAGGTGTGACCCGGAAGTATATATCTCCCTTCCTGTCTGGGCCCTGCACTCTCTGCCATGATGTGAGCAGCTTTCCTCCGCCACTCCTTCCACCAATGTGTTTCTGCCTTGGACCGAGCAGATCATGGCTGAAAATATGAACCCAAACAAACCTCTCCTCCTTTAAGGTATTGTGCCAGGTATTGTATTCCAGTGACAAGAAAGTGACTCAGACATTTTTAAAAACACAAACAATAGCAGTAACAAAATGATAATTCTAAAATCTGTTTATCTCTTAACAGTTTTCCTTCTAAAATTTAAATGTATCATGATAATATTTCTGTGAAGTCTCAACCTCCTGGATAATGTTTCCATGTAAATGAGCAATTAAAATTTATAATAACTTCCAGGTCCTGTGAGAGCATAGGTTGCAGTTCCACGGTAAGTCACTCTCCAGTGTGCTTTCATTAAAAACTGTCCCTTAGTTATCCACACCCATGGCCAAATGTGATTACACACAGCGATGTACACCTTAAGAGATCAGCAGTAAGAGTGCAATGCCAGCCTGTAACTCAAGTTTTCCTGAGTAAGAAATGTCCATTTGAAACATGAAATTCATTGATATTTTGACAACACTTTGCAGGAAGAGTCTGTCTGTTTAGATTCTGAGGTAGAAGAACACATTAACTGGTTCCAGCAAGAGTATGTGAAAGCAGAAAAGAACTGGACAGAAATTGACGAAAGGATGAGCCAGACTTTGGAAATAAGAAGAAAGATGATTGGCAGCAGGACACCTCCAAAGGATGTTCTTCAAATGTTTCCTTTCTTGAGGTGCCCTTACCAGGTACCTATCTCTTTATAACTGTCTGATTGTAGTGGCACATTGATTGTCCTCTCTGTCCTCCAGGAATAGCCACAGGACAACGTTGCAAGACACTGTGTGTGAATCTCCATAGGGGTGGGTAAGACCACTGGATAAGAGTTTCAAGAAGTGCATTCAGATACCTGCAGAATTAGGTTGCTGTGCTTGGGCGTGGCGTCGGGGCTGGGAGACCACGACCTCAGGGTAGTTTGACAGTGCGAATAATTTTTCCTTGACATGTTTTTATACAATCAAGATAGTTTATTAAGGAACTCTTCATGGGCAGTGTTATTTAAAATTTATTTTTGTGACCCCCAAACCATTTTATAAAGTGATCTTCAAAAGCTTTGAAGTTTTGTGGATAAATCAAATATCCTTCCACCACATTTACTTAAAGTGGTCACTCAAAGGCCTTAACACCATGTTAGTGTGACTTTAGTAGTGGTATAGAATGGTACAGAATGAAAGATTTATTTTTTTTCCCTGTAAATACATTTCATGGAAGAATTCTATGAGTTCAGTCAGCCACACTGATAATGAAACTTCTCTTAGTCCCTACCCTCTAAAAGAATCCTCCCCAAAATCTAAAAAGGATTTGTCTGTACTATTGTATCTATTTATTTATTTATCTTTTAGAGACAGGGTCTCACCATGCAGTTCAGGCTGTTCTTAAACTCACTTTGTAGCCCGGGTTGGCTTCATTTTTTCACCATTCTTCTTGCTTCAGACTCCCAAGAGCTGGGATTATAGGCGTGCACCACCACGCCTGGCTTGCCTGTATTATTTTAATATAAACAGCAAAACCCAAGTGCTTACTATGTAATAGGTACATGCTTGGGGCTTTACTTGGACCTATCTAGTTAATCCTCCCAGCAAACCTACCTTGGTTTTTCCTTTTTTTTTCTTAATCTTTGGGTTACTAGGAATGGTAGCAGCCAGTATCCTCTGGCTATTACATATAAAATTAATGCCAGACTGACTCACCCACAAAAGGTAGTAGTAAAGCAAAACCTGTCAAGCTGACAGTCAATTTTATAAACACAGGACCTTGTGGAGCTGAGTGAAGTGGTAGGTGGCTGGGACAGTGGCCATGGCCCCAGCTGGGGCAGCTCGGGGTCGTTGCTGGAGGGGAGCCTTCAAGATTTAGTGCCTGAGGTAGATGAATGGGGGCTAAGCGGCCTTTTGAAGAACTACCGAAGCTTGAATGTCTGAGGTCCACCATGGCTGGAGAGAAGAGCAGAGAGTCCAAGCCTCCCGCCACAGAGTCTGTCGGTCTCTTCTGGCCTGTTCCCTCTGGATTTTCACTTTTTATGTTCAAAGTATGGAATGGATATGGTTTTTGTGCTAATGATGAAGCCTGAGTTGGTAGGAACATCTGCGAGTATGGTTTTTGCAATGGCTGTACTTATAAAATGGAATTGTCTACTGTTTTAAACGAAAGAATTCAACACTTTCAGTTTCTCTATGACGTACCTCCCTAACTCAGCCCAGGGAAGCTGAAATTTACAGCTTCTAAAACCCTATTTTGCTTCCTAAATGAAAGGAAATTTGACCTTACATTTATTTATTTATTTATTTATTACTGTTTTTGAGTGCTGACAGTTTTGCCAGGTCACTAAATTCCCCAGGCTGGCCTTCAGCTTGCAGTCCTCCAGCCTCAGCTTCCCTGATGCAGAGCTTACCAGGGTGCTTCACCATGCCTGACTTGACCTTCCTTATAAACAGCTCCTACACACAATTCCTGTCACAGGTAGGCTACCCTTGCTGTGAGCCTCCCCTGCCAGTTTTTGCTACTGCCACTGGGAGGACTCTGACCTTGGGAGCCATGGATGTGGGTGCTGAGGAAGGAAAGCAGCTGTTGGCTGGGGTGGTCCTGGCCTCCTGCCCTTATCCTCTGTCGCCTCCTGTACTCATGGACCTTCCTCCCTTAAAATTGTTTCAACAGAAAATTAGAAAATTAAAATCATGGGACAATCCTGCTTGGGTCTATCCAAGTGGAAGATCCCACTCAGCCACTTAGAAGGCTTGGGGTTTTTGGAAGGGGGACAATACCATAGAGCACACATCATTTTATAAGATTATCTATAATAGTTACCCTAAGAATCATATACAAAAAGAGATAGCAGGAAATCTGTCCACATATTAAGGACCAAAGAATCCAGCTGAGGGCCTGGATCCCTTGGTAATGTCCTGCATGAGTCCGGCTGAAGACCTAGAGCCCATAACAATGCTCTCCACAAGTCCAACCAGAGGCCAAGAGCCCAGGACAGTGTCTCATGCAGACCTCTTTCATGGATCTGCACTGGGAAGGCCCAAAGGTCAGTGGTGGAATCCAGAAATTCTGTGCCAGTGGGATGAAGGATCTGTGCCAGCAGGCTGAGGGATCTGCACTGGAGCCAAGAAACAATGCTCAAAGTAAGAACCAGAGCTGTCCCGAAAAGTACCACAGCCATCCTCAGTGACGGTGCTCCTCCAGTGATGAGGAAAGCCGAGTTTCCATCAGGAATGTAACAAGCTTCTCCAGGAGACTGAGCAGTGCACCATCTTCCTTCCCCTCCAGAGCCAGGAAGCAGTGTTCAAAGTGAGGACCAGCAGGATTTCACAGCTTCTAACAGCTTCCCAATAGTATCCAACCGCTTCTCCCAGCTCCCAACAGCCTGTCTCCTTCTTCTCCAGGTCTGCCTCTTATGCTGCTGGCAACAACCCTCAGGTGGGCCTCCCACACCCACACCACTTACTCAGTTCAGCTGGGGGTTATAAGTTGACCACCAGCTGTCAGTCCACCACAGGCAGGAAGATTATTTAAAGCCATGAGTTCAGGGACCAGACCAGGACAGCACGGTAAGATGCCATCTCACCCACCACCACCACCACCACCACAAAAACAAAACACAACACAACAGAAAACCAAATGAAAAAGAACAGAAACAACGAAACCTAAGTGAAGTGCACAAGAATAAAGCTAATTAGGTCTTTGAAACTTTTTAAAAGAACCTGAATTTGCTTTTGGCTCAGTGAGGTCACTGACCCTGGGTTAATCTTCCCCTCAATCACAGAGGCACAGCTGGGGCAACGCGGAGGGGGTGCTGCTCCCTGGCATTGGTCCTCCTGGAAGGGAGACCAGGAGACGTGGCTCGGCTTTCTGCTGCCGGTGCCTCCCTGGGTCACTGTTCAGAGAAAGGACGGCCGTGTGCAGCACGGTGTCCCCGAGCTGAGCAGGAAGAGTTGTGTTCTGATGCGGGGCCCTTGGGGTCCTTGACCGGGAGCCGGGCTGCACACGACAGCGCTGCTGTCAGAGGTCACACCGTCACACCTGGTCCTTCCTGGGCTCTTCCCATCTTGTTCAAAAAAGGGGCAGAACCATCAGTGAAGTGAAAGTGTAGTGTTTGTCTGAGACAAAGGAGAAAAGGTGCTCAAAAGAGGGGACGGTGCTCTGGGTAGAAGCACTGAGCAGAGTGTGGGCTGGCGCAGCAGGCACAGAGGCGCAGCCTGAGTGTGGCAGGTGAGACGGCTCACAGCAGCAAGGACAGCGGCCACTGGCCACCCTCACTCATCTCCCCTCTGCCGTCAGGTCAGAGACCCCCTTGATCTCGTGCTGGAAGACTGACCTCGGGTACAGGGTTCGGCTTCATCCCATGCTGACGTAGTGCCAGAGGAACTGAACATCGCACTCCCTGGCGGGAATCAGGTGCAGGGGGCAGCTCTCTGTCCCATCATTCTCTGAAACTGGTGGGTCAGGCCCAATTGCCCCGGCCACTCTGCCATGCCCTCATCTCCCCACTCAGCAGAGCAGTGATAAAGAACTCTGGCCCAGCGTGCAGACCTCACAGAGCACCTCAGGCTTCCGCTCACACTCCAGAGTCCACGCCTTTGCATTAGACTCGGGTCCTAAGCTTGATTTTGCTCTCTGACTAAGGCAAAACCTTTACAGTCCTGCCTGAACATGATGAAGTAAACTCCGACTGGAACAGAGGGAACAACCAGTCACTTGACTGCCATGCAAATTGTAGTGGAAAATCCTTTAAAGGAAGATATTTGCATCCTAACCCCTCCCAAGGGCACCACTGTGGTGCCCACCCCTTAACCCTGAGCCTGTGAGTCCTGCCTGTGGAGATATAGCACTGCAGAGTTTATGCCGGCACGGAGAGCCTTGTCTCAGCACTACAAGCACTGGCCCTTAGCCGGGGCTGCAGCTTCATCGTCAGAAAGCCGCTCCATGTTCTGTGGAGCCAGCCCGCTCAGGGTGATGGGGAAGTGATGTGAAAGTGGGATGGGTGGGCAGTCCCACTCAAAGGATCAACGGATCAACTTGAAGGCTCAAAGGATCAACATCAAAGTGGGACTGGTAGGACTCAGTTTCAGACTATGCATCATGACTGAGGGGAATCTCAGCAGAAAACTGCACAGATGAACAAGAAGCCAAGCTGAGAATCAGAAATGGAAAGAACATTCATCTGGAATGAAAACATCACTGGATAGGGTTCACAGCACCCTGGAAAAGCAGAGACAGGGTCTGTGACCTTGCAGATAGACTGGGGGACAAGAAGGAAAAGGATTGGGATGAGGAACCCACAGAACCCCCAAAGCTTGGGCTTGTGATTGGCTGCACACAGCTGGGAGTGTGCTGCAGGGCCACCGGGGCAGTGTGAGCCCTCAGTAAGGAGTCTGACAGCCAGGTCCTCACGGTTGAAGGAAGCACCCTGTGGTGTTACATTGGAATTGAAAATATCACTAGGAACTCAGGGTGTTTATATTTATTTACACAATTCTAGATGTCTGTATGTCTACATGGCTGTGTGTGGGGAGAGAAGGAGAGAGAGAGAGAGAGACAGAAAGAAAGAGAGAGAGAGGGAGAGAGGGAGTGAGAAAGAGAGAGAGACAGAAAGAGAGAGAGAAGGAGCAAAGATAGCGCATTTATTTGGGAAGGGACATTGCAATGGAAACCCAGGCATGGTAAACTATGTGTGCTTTCAGGGAGGTTCCAGCAAAAGCAAGATCTTAAAGGCAACAGGAGGAGGATTGCATGAATTGCTTTTGAAACAATAATCTTTGGCTCAAAGGATCGACATCAAAGGTGGCATCAATCCACAGTTGGAGCAGCTGCTGAGCAGAAGGTCGTACAGAAGCGTTTTCTGTGTGAAGTCCAGTGGCTTTTGTAAAAGGCTATGGCTCTGACAGAGGCTCTGGCGAGGGCTCCTATTGTCAGGCAAACGTGCATGAGATCGCCTCCTGTGTAACCTGCTGGTTCTTCTTTGTTACTAGTTTGACCCAAGTGACTCCGTCCTGGTTCTGAAAACCTGCCTGGTCTATAAAAATATGTCTCCTCGCTTTGTTCCATGAGAGAACCCACAGCAAGAGCACTTTTATAGTAAAGAGCGTATCTAGGGCTGAAGGTTTAGTTTATTGATGCTATTCTTCAATGAAAGAAACCAGGGCTGAGGCAGAAATCTAAGTGAAAATACAAGACAAGCTGGAAATATTGTGTAAAGCCAGAAATTAAGACAGTGCTCACAGACTAACAGGACAGGTCAAGAGGACACAGGAATCAGGAAAGCAGCTGCTGCTGGTCAAATCTGGGTTAAAAAAAAAAGTCTAAAAAAAGTATATAAAGAATTTAAGGTTTGGATTTTTAAACATTTGAATAAGGTAGAAATTTATTAATCTGCAATGATATAAAATATGAATAAGTAAATAAATGTGGAAGAAGAGAAAGCTCTGTTCTAGAGTAGAAGGCCAACTAATACATACAGAGACAACGGAATAAGATAGTGACGCATGACTAAGGCAAGGATCCTGGACAGACGCTAAGTCCAGGGATGAAAGCTACACGAGGAACAAGGTGATGACGTAAACCCAAAGTATCTCCCCAGAGCATGTTTGCCTCCTAAATGCGTTAACTTTACAGTGGAGAGCAGCAGAGTCCATTTTAACCACATGAGAAGTTACCATCCCCAGTGTTCGAGTTGGAGCCACTTACCATCCTGTGCTTCCTGAAGTGGTGAGAAAGGCCAGTAGTCCTGCCCTGAATGCATAAATCATGAAGAAACACCACACAAGCCTCGACTGAGGGGTGTTCTACAGAGTGGTCAGCCACTAGTTTTGAAAAATGTGCAGGAAAACAAGAAGGTGATTCAGACAGGAAACTAAAGAGATGTGGTACCTAAATCTTACGTGTGTTCCTGGGACAGATTCTGGACCTATCAAAATCATGTTCAGCACAACTATCAAATTTGAATGAGGCCTGCCTGTAGATTAAATTTTCCTGATCTTAGGGTCCTTATAGTTAGGAAATACACCACAAAGAATTAAGTAGTCAGAGTATCACATCTATGGCCTATTTTCTTCTTCTTTTTTTTTTGTCTTTTTGAGAGAAGGTCTCACTATGCAGTTCAGGCTGGACTTGAACTCACTTTGTAGCCCAGGCTGACCTCAAAGTCACAACAATCCCCCTGCCTCAGCCTCCCGAGTGCTGAGATTACAGGCATGTGCCACCACGCCCGGCTATGGCCTATTTTCAAGTGGACCAAGAATGGGAAGGAAGTTCCATACACAGCATATGTGAACTCGGTTCTTTTGTAAATTTAATGTAAACTTGAAATTATTTCAAAATAAATAGTTTTAAGAATTGTTAAGTTATGGGGCCGTGGAAATGGTGTATTCTACCTTTTCTTTTTTTTTTTTTTTTTGGTTTTTCTCTGGTACCGGGAACCGAACTCACGACCTTGCGCTTGCCAGGCAGGCGCTTTGCCGCTGAGCTAAATCCCCAGCCCCTATTCTACCTTTTCATGTTTCATTTCCCATCTGTGCACCAAGAGAGCCCTTTTCTGAAGGTGTTAGTCTACGTCAGCAGTCCCGAGAGCTGTCTGCTCACAGAACCACTCTGCATTTGCAATAACATGCAGTCCAGCTTTATGACCACATTCAGACCTAATCTCAGCTTTGGGGCTACCAAAATATCCAGGGAACAGTGAGGCCTGGGGCAGAATGTGTAGCTGTTCTTTACAGCTTTAGGGAAAGAAGTAACTAAATTAATTCATAATAGCATGTGCGACTCATGACTTCACGATGCCATTCCAGCAACAGAGAAGGGTGTGGGATGAAGGGATGGAGGAATTCTCTGAGGGACGGAACTGAGGAAGTGGTAGGAAAATGTGGATTAGAGAAAGGGGACTTCCATAAAGGTAAAGTGCTTTTGTCTTGACTTGGAGGTCAAATCTGCTGCATTTACATCGTTTACTTTTTATCTGTGCCAATCTTACAATCTTGAAAGGGTTCCCCTTTCTTTTTAGGATACTATGAATAAATATTTTTCAAGGGCTATAAGGGCTGCTCCCTAAAATGCAGCAGTCTTCTTATTTTACCCCTTGTTGGACCCTGCCACAACAGCGGCACACCTAAAGAAATGTAAGATCCTGGAATCCTGGCTGGGGAATGCAATTTGCTAATGCATGCATATGTAATTTGGAGTCCTCGTTTAACTGAGTCTGCATCCAAAGTTTAATTCTTCATCAGTTTTGCTGTTAGTTCTAGAACTGGACAACACTTTGTTCTATGCCACAGAACAGCTATTCCCCAAAGTTTTCATACTTTCAGAATTTCACCATTATTTATGTTTTCCTATTCATTTCAGGCTTTTATTCTTTTCTCCTCAAGTTTTTACTTCTCCATTAAACTACCAAAATATCCCGTGTGTATTTTAGACTGGTACTCAAAGCTTAGTGTAATTCTGAAGAGCCGTTTACCTGTTTACATTAAAAATAGCGGAAATTTTCTCTTAACCTGATCTATTGCTTTCTTCTTCACCAGATGTTCAGAGAATTCCAACTTCTTACAAGAACGGACATTTATAAGAAAACAAGGTATATTCTGGAATCCTATGCAGAAAATGTACTGACTGCTTTTCCAGCGGTGGACAATCCCATCACTATTGCACTGCGGGAAGCAGTGAGGCAGTGTACAGATGAAGACACGTTAAAATGTTAGTACATGTGGGGGATGGGGCAAGCCGGTCTGGTTATCTGTGTAATTCAGGATAGGGAAAAGCACTGCTTTGGTAGTAAGATTCAGTTAAGCAAATGGTGGGAAGGTAAAGAGCACTTTTTCAGTGAGAAGAGTAGAGCCATAGATTCAAAAACCACACTGAACTGAAGTGCACTGAAAACTGTATTTGGGGAACTAGCAGCCTATTAATTTTATAACACAAATCACAATTGAAAACATGATAAAACGATCCTGGTGGACAGAGTACAGAGCTCTTGCCTCCCCTGGCAGTGATTTAGAGGAGGAACTTAGGGGTTTGAATTTTCCTGGAAGATATTGGCATTTTTTTGTCTTTTTGAGAGACAAGGTCTCCCTATGCAGTTCAGGCTGGCCTTGATCTCACTTTGTAGCTCAGGTTGGCTTTGAACTCATAGCAATCCTCCTGCTTCAGCCTCCCGAGTGCTGGGATTACAGGTGTGTTCCACCACACAGGGCAAGATGTTGATTTTAAAAGGCTGTAAAACACTTAGCTAAGAAGGTGAGCTGATTCCCTGTGGAAGATTGTAACAAACCATCACTACCACCACGACCACCAAAATCTACATGTTTTTATCAGCATTGCCTAAAGTTGTTAAAAACCTCTCCTTACTTGGACTATAAACATGTTTGCTTTGACAGATCTGAAGATGACAGCCACATGTTTACTCCTCCCACATGTTTTTGGGAATGATCCCAGCCTTTTTGTCATTGTGAATGAGAAGGTAAGTAGCACGTTAATGGCCACTAGTTTGCCATTTTATAAAATATTCATACAATGTATTGGAAAGGGTGGTGGTAGACTTTGAACTATGTTTTGCCCTATTTACAAATACCCTTAAGTGCCACCAGCTCATTTACTGTAACACTATAGTTACACTCAGATCTGTTTTATTACTTAGTGTTTTACATATCACGGGACCGTGACTCCCTCCTTCTTTGCAGGTTCAAGTGTCCACGCCTGTGCTGGCAGTTAAGAACCCTTTTGACATCAATGTCCGTGAATTTTCTTTATATCTGGACAAGGAGGAGCTCACCAAGGTGGATGACTGCGTCACGGCCTTGGCGGCTCTAGTGGCCGCCTTTCATGTATTTGGGGTTGAGTGTCCAAGAAGGCTGTCCCACACCCTCAACTTCCTGGAGACATTGATCTTTGACACACATAGTCCCTATTTTTCTTCTTTGAAAGAAAAAGAAAAGGAAGGAGGATTTTAGCCCCTCATCACTTAATAGCACGCCAAATATTACATCAAAAGTTACCTGTGGGGCCGCGGAAGCATAAGCATCACTTTCATTTAGGGTTGGGCTGGAGGTAGGTATTAGCAAATCCTCTTGTATCAAAGATGCTCATAAACTTCAACTGCTATTTTTACACATAAGTTCTCTGTGAAATTCTGTAATAATTACTACTGAAGGAAAGAGCTCTTCACTCATTGTGATCTGAGGTCTTAGAAATTCTATGATCAAAGTTATACTTTCAAGAATGCCTTCTAAAAGACACTGTCTTCAAATCCCTTGATTAGGATATGGCCTTGCCTTTAACTCCACGTGCCCACCTTTGAAAGATTTAATACACAGAAACTACGGCCTGGACACTGCCTCTATGGTCTGAACACTGCCTGGGAACATTTTGAACCTGAGTGTGTTATGAAGGGGCACACTCCCTCCAGCAGGCCTCACTCCAACGGCTGGCCCACTCCAGGCATTCTAGCTTCCTGTTGTCACTTACAAGGGTGGAATCCTGAGGTCTTCTCAACGCTGGCCGATCTCGGCGGCACAGGTTCTGCCCTGTGACCTGTGTTCACCTTCTAGAGCTTTCCTTTCTAGAACCTCAGGGCCCTGTGTCCACACACACTGGTTACTGCCCAGGGCCTGTGAGATGTGTGCTCTAAACAACGGTAGCCCAGGACTTTGGGGCTCTAACAAGACTCTGTATTCTCACTCTTTTATAAGGATTTCGGAAGGAAAAATTATTAAAACTACAGTTTTAAGGTGCCCCTGGGTGTTCTCATGAAAATATCAGTTAGTTTCTAGTTCTCAAACATGGGTCACATGTTTTTGGGACTTGAAAAGAGACTGGGGATGTACTTTTCCTGGGTTATTTCATCAAATTGACTTAAAAAAAAAAAGTTTAAAGAAGAAAGATGACTTATTGAAGAGGTATTTTTATAACACATATCTCTGGAACTCGGGTGAAGTACGTATTTGCACTGACAGAATGACAGTGCCTTTCTTTCTAAGGCGTTAGCCAGTGAGGTAAAGGACATGGAAGATGTGCTGCCCCTGTCCGCAGTGACCCTTCGTTAACTCTGCACACCAGAGTGGGCGGGCAAAGGAAGTGAAACTGATCTTGCAAGAGTTTTGCATAGAACAGTCCCTGCCCCACAGTCTCCCTTACTTCCTTTGCACTAGAATCTAAATTTCCTTCCTTATAAACCATCCCGTACTTGTCCCAAACGATCCCTCCTCCAATATCTTTTTAACTCCACGTCTTAATCATCGTATCCCGAGTACTTGCAGTCAGTTCTCAGAGGTCCCTCTCCTTCCAGGCACCGCGTCACCGTGACACTGAGTGACAGCCACTCTCAGGTGGGGCACAGTAAGGGGCCCACATGGAGCGGCGCAGAAACTGCAGGGAAGTCTGGCCCCATACACGACAGACTTGAGCTGACCATGAGGGCAGATTCCTGTCTATTTCCTTGTGTCTTCCAATCCTGTATCCACCCTAGTGCCTGGCTTGGTCCTGCCCCTTGGTACATATTCAGTATTACCTGACATTCCCTATCGGCTGTAGGTCTTAGTCTACTGAATCTAGAAGTGGCAAGTGGCAGGCCTTGATAAATATTAACGCGGAGACAGGTTTCACTCGGCTTGTGCAGTGGTTTAAAAATATTTAAAAATGCCTTTTAGATGGAAGGTCCATTTTTCCCTTCCTCCCTCTGTACTGCCCTGAGCCTGCTTCTCTTATTTCAGAGATGTCCTTAGTATCAGGGCTTCCTATTTTTTTCCCTTTAAAATGGATTGCATCCTAGAACTGGAGGAGAAAAAGATTTCTTCTCCCCAAGGTATACAGAACCTTATGTCACCCTAAGGGTGTTCAGTACCTTGCCTCTAACTTACAATATGCTGCTTGGATGTACCAGTGTTTTCAGGAAGATTTAAAAGTCCTTTCATTGCCACATATGCTTTAAACTGTAAAGGAAAAATTCCCCATGTGGATGAACCCAACTTGATCTAACTATAATTTTTGAAAATCCAGTCTCATTTGCTTGAGATATAGTTTGATAAACAATAGTGAATTTTATAGAGGTATTAGACAGTTATCTTCCTTCTTCTATGCTGGGAATTAAACAGGGGCCTCATGCATGGTAGCCAAGAGCTGTACCACTGAGCTACACCTCCAGCTCTTATATTATCCTTCAGATTCTATTCTTGTTTTGTTTTACCTCTCCTATGTGAGAAGCTTCCTTAAAAATAATACATATGTAAAAAAGGATCTGTAATGAAGATTTTATTTCATTCATATCAGATATAACAAATGCAACCTGGATGTAGTACAAATTCTGAACAGAGTATAAAGAGCGGGGAGGGGACAATAAAGAAAACCTTATTTAGCAGATTCATGCAAAGAAATGGATGTGATGCTGCAGGTATCGCTGCGCCTACTTTACCCTGAATCATGCCAGATACAAGTAACTCCTAACAGACTCCCGATAGGGCGCATGAAGGGAGTCCTATGCCACAGAGAATGGGGCAGCAACGTGGTGGGACTTTGCCTAGAATTCGGACAGCATGCTACAGACTTCATCTCTAATTTTAAAAGTCCTTCAATGAACGCCTAATCCCACAACGAGAAAGTACATCGTAAGACTGACAAAATAACTTTTCTCTCAGAAATACATATTTATAAAAGAAACACTGCCAGCTCTCAGTTTACAGATAGTCAAAGGGTCTTCATTTAAAGTGCATCTGAATGCTCATGTATCAAGGCAAAATATTTTAAAGAAGGGACTGCTCTGGAATGGAGGATCTCGGGTTACTGCTTTGGGACTCACGTCCCTCATGTGTGAGTACCGAGAACTCCCTGTGTGTCAGTCTTGCTCCCTCACACCTTCCCTGTTCAGTAAAATCAATGCACTCTCTTTAGCCAGCCCTGAAGAAAACCTTTGGGAGTAGGGCACACTGCAAGATTCGAGATGGCTTTTTACGGATTAGTGCATCAAGCAACAGAATGAGCCCTTCATCCCTGAAAAGCACCAGTTACCTCCAGGACAATTAGAGAAAAGCTCAAGATAATGCCACATATAGTACAAGATCCTTACAAACCCTCCCATGCCCCGAACATAACCACACATTCCTCCAATGCCCTCGGACTCTTGTAAACACATGGGCACCCTGGCGTGCAAGACTGATGCCACTCATATCCACTACCTAGTTTATTATGTTGATATATTTTATTTTTCAATTCCATTCTTTTATATACATGTTTTTGGTAATTATAGTAAAGATGCTGGTGAAAAGTAATCTGTTGAACATTTCATAATGCGTGCAAAAGTCAAAACACTGATCCGAAGAAAAGTAAGAGTTACAATTATTCAGCCCCACCAAAAGATGACAAGCAGCTGGGCGACATCATGACTTGCAAAGTTATACTTAGCATAATGTTGCAATTCAAAATATGGCACAAAAGGAACAATACAGGTAACAGTCCCGCTGGCTAAACTAGCCAGGTTTTGACTAATTTGGTATAAGTTGAAATTCAATTATATAAAAAGGTTTCTGAAAGCATTGAAAAAGAAACAGTGTACATGAAAGAGAATTCAACAATGTTTACAAAATGCCAAAAGTTCTTACTCTGCCCCCCTTATCCATAAATAATTAATGAAGTCCCCCCTTTCCCCCACCCCCCAGCCACAAAAAGATTTACAAAGATAAATTTAGCTCAGTGAACAGAACCAAAAGATGACTGTTTTACGACAGTACCTGGTTAAAAGCTCACGCACTTTCTTAAGAATTCATATATATTGTCTCTCGAGGAATATAAATAATCCGATAGTGTTGCTCTTTTGAGTTTTGGAGACTTCTCATTTAAGAGTTATAACCGTCCTTGTGCTTTGAATAAAACATGAGCTGTAAAGCAGAAAGCTGATGGTACTCAGAGTTCACCATCTTCAAAGTTCGTTGTGAGAATTCTTCTCTGCAGCCTTGAACATCAGAATAGAATTGAAAATTTTGAGAGCAGGGCCCAGCTTAATGCTCATAATTTTAACAATGTCCGTTTGGGTCATAAGTAGAAATGCCTCTCCGTCAATTTGCTACAACAGGGAAGAAACAAAAGAATGTGAATTAGCTGGAGGTAGTGTCGCGGTAAATATCCACGGTCAAATAATCAGCAGACTTCTACAGTGATTAAGAAGGCACACATGGGAGTTCATGAGTCCAACATTTTCCAGATATATGCAGCTGTCTTATCTAAAGCAGCTCACCCACCTATGGACTCTGGTTGTTTAAAGATTCAATCCACTCGAAAATGGAAGGTACCTGTGTTCGTTATGATTACTCTGAATTAGGTGCTGAATTAAGAAGAACAAGGAAAAATCTAGGATGTCCCAAATCTACTTCACATCACAGTAGGTTTTTAAATTAGAAAGGATAAACAAACAAATGTCTGTTAACATAACCAAAAGAATACCAGTGAACCATCAGTTATATGCCAACAATTTTTTAAAATTAGCCTTTGCCACCAAGGGAAAAAAACAAGAAAGAGAATGTTTATTTCCAGCAGAGCCACACATAGATTTCTGATACAGAGGAACAGCAGTCCACATCATACTTGGAAGAATGTGAGACAGTTTTAAGAGCACAGGTTCTTCTGCATTATCATGATTTGCGAAGTTATACTTGGGCCTCGCCTCTCCGATGATAAAAACTCTGTGCTTCTACAGTAAAGTACTCTGGGGTTCAGAGACAACCTTGAGAAGACGATGTCTGGTTTGGCAGGCTGAGCGTAACAACAGGGTTTCTCTTTTCTTAGTATGACTTTCAGCTCCTGGGGAGTTCTGCTGCCTTCACACACTTCCTTTTGGATTTTCCCACTTTGCACAAAGAGTAAAACACACTTTTGTTTTCTGTTACATTAGAAACTATGACAGCAATATATTAAAAGTTATGGGATTGAATCATCCCCTGCAAATTAAGGTGTTGATGTCTAACTCTCAGAGCCCCTTAAAATGTGATCTTATTTGCAAATAGGGTCATTGCATATGCAATTTAAGGTGAGGCTGCAATGGAGTAGAGTGGATCTGTAATTCAAAATGACTGGTGTCCACAGAAAGAAAAGGGGAAATTTGGACATACAGATGCAGGGAGGGAAGGCAAAAGGACATGATCGCTAGGTTGAACGCAGAGGCCTGGACAGATTATTTCCTCACAGTCCCGAGTAGGAAGCAAGCCAGCCCACACTTGGCCTCTAGATTTCTTTGGATTTCTAGTGTCCAGAACTGTAAGATAATAAATCTCCACTGTTTAGGCCATTGATTTGTATTTGTTATGGCAGCGCTAGGAAACTAGTAGACTGAATTCTGCACAGTTCGCTAAATAAAGGGTTACAATTAAGGGCTTGTTTCTTAAGATCTTTTCTTCCAAAAACCTAGAACACAAATCTCTGTAATCTAAATTTCCTGTATGGTCTTTTCTGTCATTAACAACTAGAATCTTATAGGATTTCAAATACTAATTATGTGGGGAAAAGTTCGCTAATTTCAGTGAAGACATGCTGCTACAGTGAGCTAGAAAGGAAGACATTCCAATGGGAAACCCAACTCTGTGGGAGGTATGAGGGGTGCCGAGATTTTAGAGACACCGGCTCTGGTGTCATTTGCCTGAGCTGTGACAGACCTCTCCTGACAAAGCGGAGCAGGGAGGAAAGTACAACCGTTAACACTTCCCCACCCGAGGCAGACCTCAAGATCAGGGACAGGCTGAGAGAAGCCTTCTCAGGCCTTAATGAAGATATTAACCAACACACTGCTTTTCCAAAGGGCAAATTACAGAGATTTATTAGTTTATTACAGGTTTGGAGCCTGTCCAAGGCCAGCAGCAGCCACTGGAGTCTTCTCTGCTATCCACAGAAGAGTGTAGGTGATAAATGACCAATGATAACATCCCAAGAAATGGGAGGCCGAGATTTGAGGAGTGGGTAAGCAAGTCCAGGTTTGACAGATTATTACTGATCAGCTTATAGTGCAAAGAAAAAACATCTAGAAGCCAGGGCCAGCTCTGTATATTGCAGACAAGCTGGTCTGATGTACAGCCACAGGACAAGCCTCAACAGGAAGAAGGTGAACTTAATTTAAGAAAGTGCACATTAAGAACAGTGATCCCGGCAAGGCATTCTTGAGCTTAGTTCTTGCTTGCTCTTGCAATGCATATATAGCGCCTAACTCCAGAAAGGAAGGGTCTTGCTAAAGGCCCCAAAGGAGGAAAAGGGATTTGGAGTTCAGTGGCCCCTCATTCTGTTCCCTGCTCCTCCTCTGTGGGCTCAGGCTCTCTTCCAATGCTCCGACTCTAAGTCACAGTGACGCGTTCTTTGCCCTTGTCAGAGCACAAATGTATGACTGTTGGGTCGGGACTGTAGCTCAGTGGTAGAGTGCTTGCCTAGCACGCACAAGGCCCTGAATTTGACCCTCAGTGCCACCAAGGAAAAAAAAAAGATTTCAACATTTTAAGGGGCTGGGGATATAGCTCAGCAGCACAGCACCTGCCTGGCAAGCTTGAGGTCCTGGGTTCAATTCCCAGTTCCCAAACAAACAAACAAACAAAAAATAAGCAAACAGGCAAGCAAGCAAACACTGTGGAGTTCACATTCTAGTAGTGAGAAAAAGACTATAAGCAATAAACAAACAAATCCATTAGTACGCTGGAAGGTGATTAGTGTTATGAGAAAACAGAGCTGGTAGGGGAGATGAGTGGGCACATATGGCAGCAGATGGCACTTTCAAGGACAGTCAGGTCAGGACTAACTGAAATGCCAGCACCTGAGCAGAGTGAGGCATGTGACCATCCAGACGGAGGACTGGAACAGGCTGGACAATCTTGGGTGTGCAAGGAGGCTGGTGTGTGGAACTGATGGGGCAGCGTAAACAGAGGCCAGAAGGCAAGAGAGGTACAGAGGGGTCAGACTGTGGGCTGTCAGGACTCTGGCTCTTACTCTGAGATATGAAACTCCTAGAAGGAGCTGAATGGGGGGCAGGGCATGACCTGACTTCAATGTTAGCAGGGTCACCTGGGCTGTGCTGGGAGAAGCCTGCAGGGCAGTAGAGAGGGGAGCAGAGTGACCCATCAGGAGGCTACTGCATGAATCCCCGTGAGAGATCATGGTGCTTCACACCAGCACGTAAGTGATGAAGGTACAGCCAGAATCTTCATGCATTAAAAATATACTCAACAGGATTTGCACTATGGAAAACAAGAGCTAAGGATGCTTTCCAACAATAGCTACTCCTAATATATCTACTTTGCCTTTTAGAGATTGCTTGTAAGACTTTAAACTTGTTATGATTTACCTCTAGGACTCAGACCAATATCCATAGATTGTGTGAGATAATCCTAGGCAAGAGTTGTGTTTTACGACTTTTAAAGCATCCTTCTCATCAAATCATTTCACAGAGTAACATCCACAAAGTAGGAATTTAGCAAACTTTCACCAGATGTATGAATGAAGGAGTGAAGGAGTGTGTGCTTGCATGATACATTTGGGCAGAGAATATTAACTGTTCTGCTCCTCTGAAGAAAGATCTGGCTTGGAGGAAGCGTGGTACCTGAAGAGAGACTCCAAAGACTGCAGTCTTGTTACAGTTTATATCGAGCTGACCTCCTCCCCAGGCTCCTTGTATGCCCCAAGGTGGACTTCTGTAAAAGGAATGGGCCATGGGGGTACTGTACCTGACTTGTTGTTGGGGCCTGCTCAGGGGAGGAAGCTCACTGGTGTGACCTGGAAGGGTATGGGCTCCCTCTCGGGCTCCTTCCTTTTCTCTCTGCTTCCTAATTGCCATGATGTGAGCAAATTTCCCTTAACTATGCTCCTCTGCTATGCTATGCTGCCTTGGAGCCAGGGACTATAGCCTAAAAACATGAGCCAAAATAAACTTTCCTTCCTTAAGTTGTGCATGTTGGGTATTGTGTCCCATGAGGAGAAAGTGATTAAGACAGATCTGATGGCTGCTGTGACCATTGGACCATGTGGCTTAGAAGCTTGTTGAAGTGGTTCATGGAAGGAGTTTAGGAAGTTTTAGAGATACAGCCCTAGAATCATGGAAGCCCCTAAGCTTAGTGGAAGATTCTAGTCACTGCCCAGAAGACCAGAATGCTAAAGAAAATGCAGACGGTAAAAACCAGACTCAGAAAGTTTCAGGGGAAACAAGACTCCACTGGCAGTTGGACTAGAGGCCATGTGTGTTATGTTCTGGAAGAAAATTTGTCTATGTTTTGCTTATACCCTGAGATTTCTTGCGGGACTGAGGTTAAGTATAGCAGAGCAATTCCTCTGGCGGAAGAAATTTCCGGACAGCCCAATGTTTAAGCTGTGATATGGGTACAGCTTAGCAAGATTTACACTGAGAAACAAGTACAAAAAGCCCATTTAAAAAGTATTCAGATTTGCAAGAAAGATAGGACCTGTAAAGTTGGAGTAGAAGAGAGCTTGGTTGCTGAAAAAATCAGCACTAAAAAGAAACCAGGTACTTTACATCAGGACAATAAGAAAGGTAAGATCCCTTGAGGCCATGTGAAGAACCAGCAAGATCCTATACTTTGTGGTTCAGGAGTGCAAAAGTGAAAAACTGTGCTTTGAGAAGAGAACTCCAGGGCACCCTCTTTGAAAAGGGCTGGCTAGGGTATTAGTTTCCCAGGATTTGGTTCACAGTGTTAAGCCATGTAAGCGCTCAGGGGCCTCTGCATCGATGGTCCAAGGTGGCTTGCCTACTGCTCAAGCCAGTGACTTGGCCTCGCCCACATGGTGCTGGTTCTGGATGCATGCAGGATGTAAGAGTTGTAGGGAAGACATCCACCCAGACTTCAGAAGGCCTGGGAGGCCAAGCAGTGTGCCCCTGAAAGAACAGGGTGTGAAGCTATGAGGGGGAAGTAAAAAGTACAGTGGAGACCTAGGAAGTTGGAGATGCCAGGAATGTGGAATCTCTGCTGAGGAAGGCAACAGGCAGTGAGCAGAGCCTGCCCGAGAGAGACCATAAGGATGGGGCCACACAAGGCATTTGGAGCTCACATCTCACTACAACTGGTCCTGGGTGCTGGACATAGAACTACAGGATTTAATGTTGCCCTGCTGGGTTTCAGGATTGCTTTAGTCCCGTTCTTTCTATCCTCCTGCTCTTCTTCTTTGCAACAGGAATTTGTTGTGGCACTGTATACTGTGGCACTGTATACCTGAAGTATATGGTTCTTTTTTATTTTTTACATGCCATGAATAAAAAAATCATTCAGAGAAATACCACAACCAGGCATGATGGTGCACACTTAGAATCCTAGGTCCCTGGGAGGTGAAGGCAGGAGAACTGCAAATATGAGCACATCCTGGGCAACTTATTGAGGCTCTGTCTCAAAAAAAAAATTAATTCGTTGATTAAAAGGGCTGGTGGATGTAGCTCAGGTTGGAGCCTCGGGATTCAATCCCCAATACCACGAAAGGGATAAAAAAAAGAAAAGGAAAAGAAAAAAAATGCAACATCATTTTGAACTTGAATCTCTACTAAATAATAAAGCAGATCTATATGGATTATCTGGCTGTCAACAGAATAAAAAATAGAATTTATAAAATATACCATAAATCTACTTTCAAAAACTATCATTTTCAAAATTAATGACTCCTCGAAGGAATGGCAGCTTTTTGGGTCTAAGTCTATTCAGGGATAGAAAATTCACTGAGAGGGGTCTGCACAGATACTCAGGAGTTAGGGAAAGAAACTCAAAATCTGAATACCTGGCAATTAAAGATCATGGTGAAAGAAAATATGGCATTTTGCAGTGAAAGTGTACATCCAAAAAGAGATGTTGAGAGTGAGGTCCCCGTGCATCTTATCAGGCGTACGTCTAAGGCACAAACTGCATCTGAGCATATAACGAGGTTGACAACCACATGCTAGATTCCCAGCTGCCCTTATACCTTCCAGTGCTCCTAATTGAAAGTGCGCTACTCTTAACAGATGCGGTTCACAGGTGGGGCACGTGGGTGTACATGTGTGTAGCTGTGGACGGCAGATGTTGCAGAAAGCCTTCTGAGGCTACTCAGTCTATTTTTTGCCTCACAGCAGCATTACCCAGAGCCAAAATTAGAACGATAATGGACGGCTCTGCTTGGAGCGGACACCAGCAAAGGGGCTTAGCTTTACAGATCTCCAGTGAAGTTGCCTACTGGCTCCTGATCGGATCACTTCTAGGGTAATTAGAAAGCGTATTCCTCCCTCTAATCAGATCATATCTGATAAAAAGGAATATTCCTTTTAATTCTGCTGCTCATGTAAGTGATCATTATTAATCATCCCCTATACTGAAGTTCTGGACAAGTTCTGTGGAAACAGTCAATAAAATAATCCTCCAAGCACACTCTGACAAATATCTTATACAAGGGCTGATCAAAACATATGGTAATTTTTAAAAATTTATTACAGTAAGACACATCACTATTAATCCCCCTCAAAATACTCTCCCTCACTTTGACACACTGCTCTTATTGTTCCTGCCACTCTCTGAAGCAGTTCCATAAATTCTCTTCTATGGGTTTCTTTGTAAGGTGTGATCAAAAATATGGTGAGTGCTGTGGCTATGTGCTACCTAATGGAAAGGCAGCCTCACACGAACACTGCAGTGTGTCTGCGGCCACCGCATTCACTGGGGCTGGCTCCATACAACTTCTGGCTCTGCCCCCAAGTCAAAAGGACCAGGAAAGATAAACCTTTCTGAATCAATTCAGGACATCGAGACAGCCTTGACAGTACAACTAGAGACACTCTGGAAAGAAGACTTCCAGAACTGCCTCAGAAAGTGGCGAGAATGATGAGATAAATGTATTTGAAGTGTGTGTGTAGGGGGGTATTTTGAAGGGAACTTGTACCTTTTACTGTAAGAAAGTTTCAAAAGTAATCCTTCACCATAAATAATACAGCTTACTGAGAAATGTGTAAGACCCAAGGGATTGTTTGCAGCAAAAATAATGTTATTTATTATAAGCATAAAATGAGTTATTCTCAATATTGTTAGATTTTAAAATAAAATAATGGGAACTAATTTTACTTTATTAAAAATGTTGCTTACTGCTTTCTTTGGCTTTTTATCTATGTTATGAATGGCCCAAATGCATGCTATTAAGCTTTGTGGGGGTTTTATAGTGAGTCTAGTAATCAGAAAACAGTACTTATAAATATTCATTTGGATCTCATCTTTCCACAAGATATTCTTACAAATGATGAACGCTGTCTATTAAACAACTATAGATCAATTCATCAACTTCAGCATAGCTCATCCCTGCCCGTCTGTGCCAATCCAACACTGTTCCCCGCCCTCTGTACTTCAGGGCTCTGATCTCATTAAGTACCATCCCGCAATGTAGTGGAGCACTTACTTCGTCCTTAAATACCTTTCCGTGTTCTTCACAGCCAGGCAAGCTCTGTATGAATTCTGACACCTGTCAAAAATAACATCAATGCTTTCAGTTTAAAAAAAAGTCAGAATCTGCTAAATGCTGCATGTTTAAAACATTGAGCCTAGACGTTTCTCTCAGAATAATTTCTTGTTATTTCAGGAAGAAGAAAAAACTCAGCTATACCCTACCTACAGTCAATGTGTCTACCACCCCCCTTTTAATCCAAGACTACTGTATCTGACACCTGATAGACTAAGGAAAGAGCAAATTTTATATACATGGTCTACGTACCTCATCTGTGCTCCATTTGGACACTCTGCTGGCAGGGATCCCGGCGACCGTCGGAAGAAGTTTGCTTTGCTGCTCCCAGCGCAAGGGCAGACACGGGATGGGGGACTTGAAGGACAGGAACAGAGCTGACCGACGCTGCGCCTGCGGCACGGTAGGCTCCTCCCGGGCACCTGATCGATTGAAGCAGAGGCGAATTCACACTCTGAGAAGCAGCAAAAATGTCCTGCACGCCACGCATTTCCCCCACACAATAAGACTGAAGGGACAGGATAGTTAAAACACTGGTTCCTCCAACATCTACTCGCTGAATGGTGACACTCTCCTCTGTCCTCGGCAAACAGCTTGTACCTTCTACTTACACACATGCTGCCATACCCAGTATTAAACACACTCGGCTTTATGTGGTCCAGTGGTGATCCTTAGACGTTTCAGATAAGAAATGTGCCTTATTTTCAGATAAGAAATGTTTTATGGGCAAGGAAAGTAACTCTCACCATCGGAAACTATTTGCTTTCTACGCTGGATGTCCTAAAGGTAACAGTTGTCAATGTGTCTGTTTAAGTGTAGCAACCGAGTACCAGGCATAGTTACTACTTGTTCTCTCTTTTTGTCTCAGCCTTGCTTTGTTCTTTCCAACTTGCTAAACGTATTGACTTGCTAAACAGCCAGTAAATGAGATAAATTACTGCAATAAAAATAAAACTGCAGAAAGAAAACCAGTTTGTCACTATTCGTGATGATCGAAACTAAAACTATACAATAATCTATTTATGTGCTAGATTTTGGAACACAAACCTAGTTTGCTGCTGCCTTCCTCAAAGAGGAATTGTCTCATTGTCTAGCAAATGACTTTTGTCTTGGGACTCTTGACGTAGAGCTTGTCAAGGATGGTCTCCTTTTAGAGTAGAAACCTTCTCTGGAAACCAGTCCTCAAAGCCCCGCAGATGAAAGGCCTAAGCACCTGCCTACATTTACCACCCCACCACCCTGTCACACCAACTGGCCACAGGATACTTCAATTCTACCATAAATCCTCGCCAAGCTGCTACCTAGGTTAGGTTTCTGCATCTCTAAGAATATAATCAAGTAAGATTTTTTTTTTCTCCTTAAAGAATAAGATTACAGAAAATGTTTTTGAATTTTCATAGCAAACATACCCAGCTAACCACCAAAAGGATCAAACTACTCTGCTATAAAGGAAGATAAGTTTGAGTTATATAAGAAAACGGATTCACCTTGAGACCATAATGCTAACTGAAATAAATCAGATGCACAAGCTTAAATATCACATGGTTTCACTCACATGAGAAACCCAAAGTACAAACAAAGAGCAAAATAAAAAACAGGTAACAGGAAACAGGGAGATAGATCTTTTCCAGATGGGAAAAAAAACAGAAGACGGAAGAAAGGGGAGAAGGGGAGGGATGGACATAGGAGGGATTAAGATGTGTTCGGCACATGCACCAACAGCCTACGGCGAATGTGATCACTACGTACTGCAAACACCGGCTGATAAAAACATAAACAACAACTACAAAAATAAAACATCAGCACATCCTCCCACTCACACTCCTCCTGTCATCAGGGGCGGCCAGTCCCCTTCCCACACCATCATTTCTCCTGTCCCGAGCTGTACTTGAATGGAAACACTGGTATGGGCTTCTTTCTCTGCCAGCATGATTAGACTCATCTGCGTTGCTGCCTTAGCTGTAATTCACTTTCTCTTTGGTGTGTGGTTTTTCATGGCTGGAAAACTTAACAGTCAATTTGAAGCTCATGGACAGTGGAGTTTTTTTTCATTTTTGATATGACCCACAATGCTGTTGAAAACTGTTGCTGCACGTGCCTTTTTCTGTGAACATATGTATGCACTTCTGGGCATAAGTACTAAAGAGCAGAGCTCTGAGGGCATAGTACTTGTGTACAGTAAGTTCTAGCAAATCCTGACAGTTTTCTAAAACCACTGTACAATGTCCACTCGCCAACTGCCTGAGAGCTCCACTAGTGTGCATTCTCGCACATGCTTCGTGTATCTTCTTCACTTTAACCACTATGGGGGTGCACAGTGATATATACTGTAGTCACAACTATACTGGTGACTACTGCCATTTACAACTGTCTCTTAAGTTTAGGGTCCATACTAAGGCTCTCTCTTGTGAAGTACATGTGGAAAAGGACATTCTTCAGTTAGAGAAAGCACTGAGGACACACAATGTTGTGTTTATTAATTTTAGAGTTTCTTAAGATAAGGTTTCACTATAAAGCCAGGACTGGCCTTGAGATTAAGATCCTCCTGGCTCTGCCTCGTGAGTACTGGGTTACATGTGGGGAAGGACATTCTTTAATTACTCTTTCAATGTATTGCCTCAGGCCTGATCAAGCCATGTGATTGTTTAGTTCTGGAGGGCATCCAGCAAAAGCACTGGTGGAAAGGATAAGATTGCAAAACCTGTGTCCTTGTGGAAAGCCACCAGGTCAACACTAAATGCTTTACTGAGACATGCCCGAAGGAATGATAACATGATGGTTTACTAAGTCAAATCTCATACTTATGATAATTGAGTTGTATCGTCCTTGCTAAGATGTTTGACATCTGCCCTTTTGTACTAGCTGCTTCCTTTGTTCTTTCTCAATAAAAGGTCACTGAGATTGGTAATCCAGGCTGCAGTCTGAGAGCTTGCAAGCCCCCTGATCCCAGAATTGTGCCTCTCTTGTTTTTCTTATTTCTCTTGCTTTTCTTTTCATCCGCAGCACCTTATTCTTGGGACCTGTCACTCTGGACAGAAACGGAATATAGGACAAGTGCACATTGATGTTTTATGTCAATTTTTTCCCCAATGGGTTGTGTTATCTCACGCATATTGATTTATAGATGTTACCTAAATATATATAATATATGTAAATTTATATAAATACATATATATAAACTTTGAATGAGAGTCCTTTGTTGGAACATATATTATAAGTATCTCCCCTACTTTGTCTTTCTTTTTACCCTCTTACTAGGGTCTTTTGAAAAACAGAAATTTTTAACTATGTTTAATTTATAATTTTTCCTTTCATGGTGTTTTATATGTCTACTGAAGAAATAACTGCTGACCTCCATCATAAAGAATACCTACTCTGGTTTTCTCTGAATACCTTATGGCCTACCTCTCATATTTGGATCCACAATCTATTTGAAATATTTTTTCTGTATGTTTATGAAGTAAAGATCAATATTAGTACATCTTCTGCATGGATTCCTAATTGCTCAATCACAGTTTCCTTCCCCACTGCAATGCAGTGCAGGTCTTCTTATAGACATAAATGTGGATCTCCGTTTCTCTTTGTACTTTGGCCTCTCTACCTCAACTACAGTCAATTACTCACACCTATTAAGTGTCCTGAAGTCTGTGATAATGGCTTCTTCAAGACTACCTTGACTAGCCTAGCTCCCTTTCATTTTTATATTAATTTCAAAATTTGGTGTAAAAAAATGCTTTTGATTAGGTTTCCCACTGAATATAGATACATTTGGTGAGAAGTGACAGAGTATACAATAGCAATTCTTCAATCCACAAGTATTGCATATCCCCCTATTTTTGTGTCTTCTTTAAAAACTAATCTTTTGTCATTTTCACTAAAAATCTTGCATATGTTTGTTAAATTTATTCCTATGTGTCTGATGTTTTCTGATGCTGTTATAAATTGTACAGACTTTCTTTTACAATGATTCAATTCCTATTGTTGTATCATAATTATCTAGTACCATTTTTTTAAAAAAAACCTAATCTAAATTTTAAATTCCTCTGAATGTTAGGAAGTAACTATGCAGTGTCCATCATTTATTTTACTGGAACTACTATCTACTAGTCCTGGTTTTGCCCCCACTGATACAGAAAAATTTCTGTCACCCCATAGGAAAGACTTCAGGTCTTCAAACACTTAATTTCTGAAGTCCTTAAGATTTCCCCTTCTACATTTGACTTAACCAATCTCAAGTTTTTAGATCCTCATCTTATTTTACTGAATATCTATTATGAACTAAATGTCTAAACCTCTGTGTTTGTTTTCATTCTTCTAAAAATCACCCAGTGTTCAAGATTTTTCATTGTTTGTTTCCCAAAAGAGGGAGGAGGGCGGGGACAGAATCTGGGGCAGAGCATCTGCCTAGTATGTACAAGATCTCCAGCACGCATACGTGCGTATGCACATGTACACACAGTATAATTTGAAAGCATTCCTTTAATCTCAAAATATTCCCAAAAGTTTAGTAGTTGTTTGAAACACAGTAGTATCTCTGTATAGTTCAAAAGACAGGCTACATAAAATGGCAAGATTCCCAATTCCACAGCAGGGTAGAACAACAGAGTTTACTTTGTAATCTGTGTAGTGGCTGCTCAATACATGGTGTGTTCAAACCCCTCCTCTCCTATCCTGTAACTCTACCTCTGAGCCCTTTCATGTCATCACTGAAACACCATTGTTTCTTGTTGAAAGTTATACTATTCACAAATCATTTTTAATATACCTACATTATTCCTTAGAAAAGTACCTAAGTCATCCTAAATAGATGACTAAAAATCTAAAGCTTATCTCTATTTGTGGGACTTTTACATGTCTTTGAGTCAGATACTGCCAACGGGCCTCACACACATAGAGCAGTCCAGTCCTAGTACCAACTCGAAATCCTTCACTCTAAGTCTCTCCTTTCTTTTGCTGATTCTTCTATAGGGACTGATGCCCTGGGATCCAGCGTTATTTCCGACAAGCCCAGTAAAGGTAGTGTTTGTGTCACAGAATACACTGTCTCCCGTGCTTTCAGTCCAGAAGGAAGAAAGTAACTTCATCTGAATGAATCTGTATTTGATTCCTTGAGTTGCACAGGAAGGTGACTCCAGGTTTTCTCTTTTAACAAAGTGATATGGACTAAAATCAATCTGAACAGACTGGCTCCATAGCTGGCTTGGGGTCAAGAGTAAGAAGGGTAGGGGGCTGGGGATTTAGCTCAGGGGGCTGGGGATTTAGCTCAGGGGCTGGGGATTTAGCTCAGGGGGCTGGGGATTTAGCTCAGCGGCAAAAGCGCCTGCCTGGCAAGCGCAAGGTCGTGAGTTCGGTTCCTGGTACCAGAGAAAAAACCAAAGAGTAAGAAGGGTAGGTCTGATGGTATACAATAGCCTTGGAAAAC